TTTTATTTATTTTTTTGTCCTGTCAGAGGTGAATATTCTATTGGCATCTAAATATTGTGTTTGAATTCAACTAAACATCTAATACTGTCTAGCAGTCTATAATATTAGTGGGTTATCCTCAGAAGTTATTGACTTGAGCCTTTTACAGCTCATCGTATTAATATGGATTTACTTTATATACCTCATTTCTAGTGGCTTTTAGTATACTGTTCCTGTGCTGAATTTCTGGAATCTGGATTATTATATGTCTGGGTGTGTTTTTAATTGGGTTGATATTATTTGGAGTTGTATATGCTTCAGTTACCTGAATGTCAAGTTGTGTTCCCATATTTGGGAAGTTTTCTGCTATTACTTCTGCCCATATTCTTTTTATGTCATTTGTATTGACTCTTTCTTTCTCTTTGATGCCTATTAGTCTTATGTTGTTCATCTTTGCATCATCTTGCAGATGTTGAATTATTTTTTCCTACATCTTAGTTGTTTTTTTGCCATAATTTTATTGATAAACAAATAGCAATGAGACAGTCTCAAATCAAATCAGTAGGACAGTTTCAATACTTAGTTGTTTTTAAGAGACCTTTTCTTACCTTTTCACTAGCTGCAATGGTGTCTTTAAGGTCTGAAAGTCTATTTTCATTTCCTTTCATATGGTTTTGCCAGCTTGTGGTTGAGGTTTTAACTTCCTGTGTATCATTTTTTTTGTATGTTTTTGTATTTTAAGGAAGGGTCTACAGGGTCTTCAGGATCTCACTACTAGATCGGACTCATAGTGATTCTCCTATGAGCTGGGATTACAGGCACATGCCACCACACCCAGTCTCATTCACTGTCTCAGCGCCCCTCAGGGACAGGGCCAGCACAGCAGGCCCTGGAGATCAAATCCCTGGGCCCTGTGCCTTCTTGCAAGCACTTTAATCAGCTGAGCTATTTGACCAGCCCTTCCTACCTGTTTATCACTTTAACTATGCTTCATGTATTGTATTTCTTTTGTATATTGCTCATTCAAGGATTCCATCATTTTTACATTCTCCTCTACTTTTGTCAGTGTCTTCTTTAGAAGCACTTAGTAATTCTTTCATTATAGTTATTTCTTTTTTACTTCAGAAATTATTTCTGAGGGAGCTTGCTGGCTCAGTTGTTTAAGCGCCTGTATGGGCAAACCCAGTCAGGCGTGAGGGACCACAGTTTGATCCCCAGCTTCACAAGCCACACCAGACCCTCCCTGAGCCAGCCCCTCCCCCCCAAAATAAAACCCTTCTCAACTGAAAAGTGTAGCCACGAGGCATAAAAGTAAAGCTACATTAATATGCTGAACTGTAAAGGGCTCACATCAACAACTTCAGACAATTGCCAGTTGTGCTGATAACCCACCGCTATTATGGACTATTGGGTTATATTGGGTTATTTTGCTGAATTCAGTTACCTACAATCTTTGGTCTGGTATCAAGTATGAAAAGTCCTTTAAAGACTTCTCCAACTATAGCTTCTCTAACAGCAACGGAACACACATCTCTGATAAAACAAAACAAAAAAGGGGGCTATAAATAAAGGACTCTTTTTTTAGTGTATGTGTGTGTGTGTGTGTGTCTATGTGTGAATATATATACATATATATATGTATATACAAGAGAGTTAGGATTGATATACAGCTACTTTCTCTTATTTCAGTGAGAGGAAAGGTTTGCACTAATATTGATTAGACAAGATATCATATCTCCATCTCGTCCTCTGCATAACTACTAGGAAGACACCAATATGCCATGTATTAATTATTGTAACTGCCATACTAACCTGTCTTGAAACTGTTGCATTGTCATTTTATCTTTTTTCTCATTAAAATGAAAAAAATAGATAATATAGTAACTTCTATTAATTAGTTATTCCTGTTTTGAAAATCTATAACATATGTATTGTTGTATGTTACCCTGTTTCTGTCATTTCTTCTATTTGTTTTTGCTCCTGTTTTCATTCTTAAAATTAAAATAAATGAAGGGAAAAGGAAAGAGCAGAAGCAGAGGGGGTTAAAAAGAATAAAGATGTGTTATGCACAAACTCCCCACAATTAATGTAATTATTATGTACCTCAAACATGTATTAATAAAAATAAAAAACTTTTTAAAAAAGGAATTATTTCTGATCTGATTTCCTCTCTACCTTTCTGCAGTTGTTTCTTTACTTCAGATGGTATTATTTCAGAGATTTCAGGTGTGTGCTTTCCAATTTCTTCAATGCAGTTGTCTCCTGCATTTGTTCTGGGTGGACTCAGGGCCTGAGACTGCATTTTGTTCCTTCTCTTCATCATTTTGTATAGCACTGTCTTCTGACCTTTGGCATAGAGCTTTGGTAGAGTTATTACCTTAGCACCAGGTCCGGATCTACCAAGTTCAAACTTGTCCAGGTAGGTGTGACTTGGGTCTGGCTGCTGTGCTCCACTTCTTCCTGCTGTAGCCCTTGGAGGTGAACCCACTGTACCACTCTGGCAAGATGTTCTGCTCCTGGATAAGCTGGGAGGGTCTTGCCTCCAGCCTCTCTGCAGGGAGTTCTGCCACTGGGTTCTACATCAGGCCTGACTGAAGGAAGTTTCACACACTTGCCGGGCCTGGATGCTGGCTGGAGTGAGGATCTGCAGGCCCTCGGGCGGTCCCACTCACACACTGGGCCCACATTTCTCTTTTGATAAAGTGCAGCAACAACAAAACGCATGCTCTCCTTTAATGGTCATTGTTTTTTGTTATTGTGGAGGGGAACTTTTTGGAGGAGTGTTCAGGATGGAACTGGGACGCAAACTCAGACTCTTGCATTTGCCAGGCAAACACTGTGCTCCTGAACTATATTCCTGGGTCTAATGGTTAATTTTAAAGAAGATCCCTTTCAATGAACCTATCCCTTTGCTTTATTTTCATGGTGATTGTCATGGAGATTTAAAAAAAAATATGGTGTTTTAGACCCTCAAGGAAAGTTTTTAAAATTGACTAAACCAAAACTCAGAAATCAAACAAGAGTGTAACTAAGAAGTGCCAGCTGCATTTGACTAGAGCCACAGGCTCTAGTGGCTCAGACTGTGCCCCGCACAAGGGTGTTTAGCCAAGAGGATCAATGGGTCTATGATTCAGTTCATGCTGTTAGAGTACCCAAGACCTTGGTGCACAGCAGCAGCACTTGGAGTAAAGGTCACCCCTTGTAAAGCCCACAAAAGTATGTGTTCATTTGCAAGGTTTGAACCCAAAAGATTGCCTCTGCCTTTGCCCAGCAGCTTGCCTTTCCTGAATTGCACAAAACACCATTCAGGGCACAGACCCTGAATTAAGCAGCAGAGAGGTCAATGAAGAAGAGAAATTTTACATTTACATGAAAGCCCTTTGTAGACTTGTAACACCATCCAGTGTAAAGCAGGACAAGCAAAGGTGATTCAGAAGCTCAGCAGGTGACAGGAGAAATTGCATTGACCACAAACATTTTCTGCCAAAACCACAGCATGTAGAGTGCACAGGAGACATTCAGATATGTGGCAGACTCCTCTCTAGGAACCCATTTGAAGGCAGACTGGCCAGAAAGCACAAATGGGAGTGGGGATGATGATTTCTGACAGTCCATTCTAGTTACCAACCCCAGGGAAGGTCTAACCAGCAAGACAGAAGAGCCTGAGACAAAAGAACCTGGGCAGCCTTGGCTGATCTAACTGCCAAGTCCTCTAATTCTTCTACAGCTTAACTTGCAGAAAACATCTGGTTCCGGAGGTTGTCAGAGGATTACAGTGTGAAACCCAAGGGAGGTTTTTGTAAAGCTCTGTAGCACTGTGACTGGGGGGATACGCACAGTGCTACAAAGCCCATAGAGACCTGTACAAAAACTGCAAGGCCAAATACAGCATTTGGGAAACCCTCTGCCTACATCTAATGCTACAGGGGATGAACACAGCAGGCAGCCTTCCCAGCTTCCACTGTACCCCAGGAGAGATGCCAGGAAGCCAATGAGATCGGAGGCGATGACACGAGCTGCTGGCCTCTCACTCACTGCAGTTCTTCCCTGGGTGAAAATGGCATTTCAACATTTTCTGGCTGCACATGTTGGGAATACAGAAAAGCTGCTATGTTAAAAATGATCTTGTTTGTCTTGCTTTCCCATTGATCTTATTGAAAAAAAAAAAAAAAAACAGAAAGTTGTGGGCCATTTCATATGGAGTTTCTGAACCCAAGTCCCTAGAGAGATTTCCTTGGGTGCTTTGCTCTTACAGTTTGAGAATGTGGATTTCTAGATGGATTCATTTGTAGGAAATCACCAGTCAGTGCTTTATATCACTTTCTCATCTTATACCACAAATTACCTGGCCATAAGGTAACACTGGTACTGAAGTGAGACTCACAGACCCAAGACCCACCACCTCCGTAGTCCCACTTTTCCAAGCAGTGTTAAGGGTGTATTGAGGAAATAAGACAGTCCAAACCAAGTGAAAGTCACAGTTCAGAGAAATTCATTAGTGTGCTAGTCTGGAAACGCTCACCCTGGGAATATGTGCTGCCAGCGACTCCCCTGACAACAAGCTTCTGGAAGCAAACCTATACCTACCAGAAGTTAATAAATATCATGAGTTGGATGAGTAGCAAACATCATCTTTCAATGAACTGAGCATGAAAGTCACTCCTTCTCTAAAGCTAATAGGAAGAAGGAAGACGGAAGTGCTGCTGAGGTTTTTGGAGCACCCTCAACAACTGTGATACAGATAAACTCATCTTTGGAAAAGGAACCAGCTTGACTGTGGAACCAAGTAAGTAATGTGTTTGTCTTTTGGGGTTAATGCATCCTCCACCCAGAGAGGCAGAAATACCATCAGGAAAGATGGGGGGTACTAAGACCCATAGTAGTTAGTGTAATTGTGTTCAAGAGGACCCCTGAGAAGAAGTAAACTATGGTTAGCCCTCTGTAAGAGTTCCAGTGGGAGGTGCTGGTTTTTAAAAAAAAGTATGATTAGGGGAATAAGAAAGAACCCAGAGAGTGCACAGAAATTGGGAAGAGCTCTGGCCAGTCCATGCAGCATGGCTCAGACTGTAGAAACTACAGAGTCACTGGTCCAACTCGCTGAGCAGACTTGGAGTGGACTGGGAATGACATTAGCCTGAGTCTGGGATCCTCTCAAGGTGGCTCCAGATATAAACAGCTCAGATATTTCCTAAGCCAATCTCATGGCTCTTGCAGAGTCCCAAATTAAATACATCTCTTAGGCACGAAGAATGAAGTGAAATCGTGGCCATTTGTTACAAATATGTAGTAACCTTTCTCTTTAGAAGGATTGTTCCAGACATTTGTTTCTAATTAGTTGAGCTTCAAGTGGAAAGCAGGTTACTAGAGAGAAATATGGAGCCTGTGCTTCTCAATGAGACCAGATTCCAAGCACAGAAAATTTGCATCAGTAATGTTTCTAGCTAAGAAATGCTTTAGAATCAGAGTGGCTCTGGAAGGATTCATGGTGCTCATCTTCCTCCCAAAGAGGATTTGGGGCCACTCACAAATGAACTGTTATAAAGGAATCCGCTCAAAGTTGTTGAAGAATTGTGGTAATGCAGAAGATAGATTTTGTTAAGTAACATTAGAATTCAGTTGTGTCCTTCTTTAAAAAGAAAAAAAAAAAAAGACAGCAGTGTGACACTTGACAGCAGCTTCTAGTTAGTGACTATTTGTCTTAAAGCAGATAAAGTAATATATCAGTATGAAAACCCTTATCAAAGGTTCTAGAGAAGTCTAACAATAGGGATCAATGGTCCCATATCTGCCAAACTGGCTACCAGAAAAGAAAAGAACTCATCCTGCCCTGCTGACTTGCTGTCCAGCTTATGTTTCCCGAGAGATAGATGACTGTAATGGGGTGAGCACCTCTCAGAGAGCAGTGGGGAAACAGACGGCTCGTGTGCACGAAGTTAAGGACAGAGGGCTCGGGCAGAGAAAGCAAAGTCCCAAGGCTGGGTGGGCATCCCAGACCTCACGTCCTGTGGGAGAAGCGCAGTCAAGCTCCACAGCAGCAAGAAGACCCAAATCTAGGTTAGCAGAGTTAAGTCGCAAAGCACAAGAGTTCTTTTAAATCACAACCTTAGTAAGATTTTTGTAAACTGAAGTAATTCAGGCTCTTGCCTTTAAATATCTCTGAAGTTAAAACTTCTCACTAGTTTATCTACTTCCCAAAAAAAGTTAGAAACTTATTTCCCTCTGTATGCCTTTGTTCACCAAGTTCTTCATAATCAAGTTGCTCTGTGTACTGATTCCTTGGACCAGAATTTCCCCGAATGTGGAGTGCAGAACACGTGATTATAGAGAGTATGCAGATGAGCTTTTTCATATAAATTGATCTTTTAATGCATATCAGAATAGTACAGGAGGCCATCAAAACCATACAATTAAAATTTGCCTTTTGATTGTATTTCAAGTTAAAAAGTGAGTAAATTTAGCAGAGCTCAGGGGCTGGGGTTCAATCTCTGGCATGGCATGGCACTGAGACAGCCATTGAGCCTGGGTGTGGTGGCACACGCCTGTAATCCCAGTACTTGGGAAGATGAAAACAGGAGAATCACGACAAGCCTGATCTAAGTAGTGAGACCCTGCAGACCCTGTACAACCTGTACTAAATACATTTTTTTAAAAGTGAGTAAATTTAAAGAAAATTATTTAGAAAATTGTGAGGGATGGATATGCTCAAGAAAAGATTTGGGGAATGGTGAACAGGTATATTCTGTTGCCCTTTAAAATTAAAAAAAAAGAAGCATCCAGAGGGCCAGGATCCAGGATATCTTCTAGCAGAGCCTTCTCTTCTAACCAACTAACATTTGATTAATGAGACATCACTGAAAATCCAGGCCTTTATCTTCTCAGAAGTCTACTTTCTCTTGATGCTTTCTTTTTTTCCGGGGTTTCTTTCATGTTCTTACCTGCAGGGTTCCCAGGTAACACAGAACTAAGGGAGGTCTATACAAACCCACAGCCACAGATCCTACCACACGTTAGCCCTCCAGATAGAGCAAATGTGGAGACACCACTTGACTTCACACAACAGACCAGAGACAGGACAGAAAAGCATTTAAATGTGACAGTGTAAGTGTGTACTACACGCAGTGGTGACAATAGAACGTATGAAAGGGTCATGGTCATCAGGAACATCTTCATGAAAGTGAGCCATGAGATGGACATAGAATTCTATCTATTATTACGCAGCACCATTACATCAGCTGCCATCATGTGAGTGCCTATCGTACCCGGCCCTTAGCTAGGCACTTCATGAATTTCATTTCATCCACACTCACAATGATCATGTGGACTTAGTTACCATTGCTTGCATTTTATACATCAGAAAACTGACTCTCAGAAAGGTTCTCAAAACTACACAGCTTAGCAAAGTTATCATTTGAATTATCTGTCTATAACCACAATCTGTGCTCTTTTTTAATGTATCAGTTATTTAATTAGGTTCTTAGTAAGAAATTTAGAACACTAATTTATGAGGATACATTCCATTTTTCAGGGCAAAAATGGATTGCAGGTAGCCCCAGAAATAAGGAACACCTTTGATTTTTGCTAAAATCTGTGAGTCCATCACATCCTGATCCACCTTGCGCTGCTCTGAAACCTGACACCTCTCAGTGTCGAAGATCTCACCCTCCTGGTGTCTGGGTTTCCACAGCTGCTTCTTCTTGAAATAGCATCAGTGACATGTTTGGGGATTTTCATTTTGCTAATATTAATTTTTGTAGAGGTGGCAATGACAAATTTCTGGTGTGTTCTTCATAGAGGAGCACGATTAAGGCTAAGAGGCCCAGTCACAAGTAGCAAGTCACTGGCCAACTGCTTCAGGAAGACCACTCTCTTGCCTCTGTGACACCTGGTGAGGATGATCAAGATGGTGCCTGGAGAGAGGCTAGCTCGACATTCCCTCACATGCTGACTGAAGGATTTCTTGCGATGGCTCAAGAGCTTTGAAGGGCACATCTTCAGTAGGGTAGTATATAGGAATTTTTTGAAGCTTAATCACCTGGATACCTCCATTCTTGTATCCACCAACTGGTTTTGTGATTGTATCAAGAACTTCCTCCTTCTTTGTCTTCTCAACCTTTGATTTAGCAGCTGTGTACTTTCTCTTGTACAAAGCCTTTCTGGAAAACATAGCAGATCAGGAGTATCTACCAATTCCTCTAACTAGATCAGGATTTTGGCTACAGTGAGGCTGCCTCTCCTTGGACATTTTGCTTTCATGCTACCCTTTCTACCAGTATGACTGGTAGAAGCCTTCTTGGCTTCAGGTTTCTTCTCTTTAGTGTCTGACTTCTGGGTTTTTTTTTTCACCCACCATCTTGCAAGATGAGAAAGAACAGCAATCTGTACTCTTAAGGCCTTGCCCTTCTGTTGAGGCTGCTTCATTAGAGTAAAAGAGTGTAGAGCGTCTTCCCATTGGGTCAGCCTTCCTCTCAGGCCTCTACTGAGCTCCAAAAGAACCTGAGGCAACAGTCTGCTATTTCCCTTCTGCTTGCCATCCCGACCATTTCCTCCAAGGAAAGTCTCCTGCCTCCACACCAAATCTCATTAACAAGGAGCCATTCCCCCTCCCCAGAAAGAAACAGGTTAATCCCACCCCCCATATCACACTCCTGGAGCCTGGGAGCACCAAAACATAGAAAGATGACCAAAGAATCTCCTTTTTTCCCAAATAACAGGAGTCCATAAACTCCTGGACTCTTCAACAAGTTTCTAAAATTTCAAGAGATCATTTCCCCAGTGCTCCCAGAACCTCAATCCTTTATGGGTTCTAATTTGATCTCAAAATGCATTTTCCCTCCATGATGTTTTGAGTGACATACAGGAAAGCTCATAGAATGATTTTTACATATGACAGAAGCCAATTTGGCTGTCATTTCTAAGTGTATGTGTGGCACTAAGGATTGCTAAAATGTAGTATGCATGAATATATTATTAAAGTGGACTGCAGAACCTGAATCTATTTTGTACTACGCAGTCTGGCTGATGTATAATGCTTGGCCATGGTGCAAGGTTCTGACTGGATTGCAATGGGATTGCTAAAATGTTCAAAGGAGTGGAGTAAAGAGTCCAGTAGGTCTTTACCCCACCCAAGTGTTGTGTAAAGGTTAAGAACCACTACTCTATGGCCAGCATTCCACCTTTCCTTACACCTGATCAAGTAAACAAACATCCTCTCCATGCTGTATTTATACTTTCTCATTCAGAGCACAAATTCTATCAGAGGATAACGTAGGAAAAACTTGGATTTCCACAAGATGCAAGAGTCCTCTCCTGTTTTGTCCTAACAAGTAGACCATAAGACTGAGGAGGAGAGAGGTTGGCTAGATGGGACAACAATCCCATAAGATGGATATTGTGTGATATAACATGGCAATAGGGGTCAGAGTTGGCTTAAAGAGAAAAGTCAAAAGGTTTTTTTGGATTATATTTATCAGGGGTGGAGAAACACTCATCTTTGGCAAAGGCTCCTATCTAGAGACAGAACCATGAAGTAACTTAACTGTTCCTTCTTGTGAACACCATGCTTGGCCATTATCTTTGCTAAATATTTTCCTGAATCACAAAATTGGGAAATAATTCTCAAGTTCTTCAAAGATTCCTCCATCAAGTGATTTAGCAAGGGCTGGTTTGAGAAGTATGGACTGAGTTTCTGTAAATCCAAGGAGGGCATGAGCTTCAGCCTCACCTTCGTAAGCCTCACTAGCTTTCCTGGACAGTTTCCATTGTCTCCTGTTGCCTGACTAACTCTAC